AGGGTTTACTAAAAAAAAGGTATACACCTCAGTAAGTCTTTGCAAATCTATTCAGTTGTGTAACTATGACTGATATCAAGATATAAAACAATTCCACAGGCTGTAGAGATGACTGGGGGTTGCGGATGCTTAGTTTTTCATGCTTTCTCTCTTAGCTGCAGTGCCCACCAGGGGTACATGCTTTTAGTCGTGGCGCTTCAGCTCACTTGGTTGTGGTACAGTGGAGATTGCACACTTTTGTTATAGTGTCTTTGACCATAAATAGCATTACTGCCAGGCTTGCACTCAGCATGGGGGGCGGATCTGGAGCTGTGAACTTTTGACCTCGTGTCTGCAAGCAAGGGGCCCTCTACCCCTGAGCCATCTCAGGCCCTGAAACAGTTTTGTTTTTCCATATGTTCTACAGAAAACTTGTAGAAATGCCTCAATTTCCTATCAGATACCAATTTTTGTTTTTCATGCTTTTCCCACACTCCATGGAATATAATCCAACCACCAAAATATGGTTATGAGTACTATTATCCAGTATTAAAATAAATGTCTTACATGACAGAGAGTTTATGTTAGCTTAGTTCTAGAAATTGTCCAGTTCATCTGCAATGTTATGTTGTCTACATATCTGAGTATAAAGGAGCAGCTGTTGGGATTAATCAAAACCCACTTGTTATTACTGAGATAAAGCTTGGAAACAGTGACCTTTCAACTAGAGTGCAAAGTTCCTAAACCCTTATCTTGGTTACCTCTTAGCCTCTCCAGTCACAGTATCATTTCCTCCCCGTGCCAAACTCTTCACTTCCCCATCCTTTCAGTCCATTTTAATGCAAAACTTAATAAGTGCTATTCAGTTTTTTATTGCTTTTACTCAATGGTTTTTAATTGAGGTAACATTGCTGTTAAATTTAATTATCATCTGTAAATTGAAAAATTCTTATCTAATTAAAATGTATTACTATCTAAAAACTGTTCTTAATGTTTATATTGAACTGCATTTTATTTGTTTAAAATAATTTGAAGTGGGAGGGAGCGGAGCATATCTGACCTGGGTTTGATCCCTGGCATCCCATATTTCTTACCAATCACTACCAGGAATAATTTCTGATTGCAGAGCCAGAAGTAACCCCTAGGCATTTTCAGGTGTGGTCCCAAAACAATAAAAAAAAAAAAATAAAAGATTTTTGTTGCTGTTGTTCATTACTTGGTGATGCTCTGGAGTCTCTCTTGGCTTTTTTGATTTTTCCAGCTGTGCTTGGGACTCTGTGTTGTCCCGGGGGTGGGGGGCGGGGTGGGGACTGAATTTGAGTTTCCTGAATGTGTCCAGCCACTGAACTATTTCCTCAGCCCCATCATGATATTGTAATATTATATATACATATAATATTACAATGCAATGTGGATATATATATTGTAATTTGTATATATATAAATTATATATTGTAATTTACAGTCTTAAATTCCAGTTGTGGTAGGTCACCAAAATTCAATGAAAAAGGCCAGAGAGATAGTTCAATGGGCAAAACATGTGCATTACATGCAAGACACACAGGCTCAACTCCTGGTGCTACCTAGTCATCTGAGCATTGCCAGGAGTAGCTCCAAGTACTACTGGGTATGGCCTGGAGACAAAATAAACAAAGTCAACAAAAAGAAAAATATCACTTCTATACCATTATAAGAGTTAGAACTTCTACCACTTTTGACAGATTTTAAATACCTACATATGATGGGGTAATTTTGTTTGTTCTAAATGATATTAAAAAACATGTGTCATATTGCTCAGGAGTATTTCTAGTTTTAATTATATAATATATATCTATATATATATATAATAAATTGGGCTGGAGCAATAGCACAGCGGTAGGGTGATTTCCTTGCATGCGGCCAACCCGGGCAATCTGGGTTCGATTCCTCCACCTCTCTCGGAGAATCGGTAAGCTATCAAGAGTATCTCACCTGGATGGCAAAAGCCTGGCAAGTTACCCGTGGGGTATTCAATATGCCAAACACAGTAGCAAGTCTCGCAATGGAGATATTACTGGGCCTGCTCAAGCAAATCGATGAACAATGAGAGTACAGTGACAGTGATAATAAGTTATGGGGCCAAAGCGATAGCATAGAGGGTAGGGCATTTGTTTGCCTTGCATGCCTCGACCCGGGTTCGATTCCTCCGCCCCGCTCGGATAGCCCAGCAAGCTACTGAGAGTATCCTGCCTGCACGAAGAAGCCTGGCAAGCTCACCGTGACATATTTGATATGCCAAAAACAGTAACAACAATTTTCACAATGGAGACATTACTGGTGCTTGCTCGAGCAAATCAATGAACAAAAGGAGGACAGTGCTTCAGTGCTACAGTGCTATAATAAGTTATAATCCAAAATCAATAGATTTCATTTTAAAATATTATCAGCAAAATATTCAAACTCAATAAACCTCAAAAGGAAAATAAAAAATCAAAGTAAAATAAGGTAAACTGTAATTTTCTGTACAATCTTGCCACTTAGAAATGGACTTAGAGCTGGAGAGAGAGTACAGGGATTAAGGCCCATGACTTGCATGTGGCAGACCTTGATTGGGTCACTGGCAATGCATAGTCTCCTTAGGACCACAGGGAACAATCCCCAGCCCAAAGTCCAGAGTAATCCCAATCCTTACTCGCGCACCAAGCCCCTCCCTTTGACCCTCAAAACAAGTTAGTTTAGAAGGTCTCATGCCTCCGAGAATGTTTTACATACAACTGTTCATCTAGTTTTTTTTATATTAATTAATGGGATGGGATAAATATTTCTATTTTTAGTGTAAAGATTTTTGGGCTGGAGCGATAGCACAGGGGGTAGAGTGTTTGCCTTGCACGCAGCTGACCTGGCCAACCTGAGTTCCATTCCTCCTACTTCAATTACTCTGCCCCTCTCGGAGAGCCCAGCAAGCTACTGAGAGTATCTTGCCCACACAGCAAAGCCTGGCAAGCTATCCATGACATATTTGATATGCCAAACACAATAACAACAAGTCTCATAATGTTACTGGGCCCGCTGGAGCAAATTGATGAACAATGGGAGGGCAGTCACAGTGTAAAGATTTTTAAAGTCTTAGGAATTTTATATTTTGTAATTTAAGGATTATAAATTTAACAAGCAGTTTTTTAAACATCAAAATATTCAAGTATGCTTATGATTGTTTCTATCATGTCTGCTTTCTGGGTTTTGCTGTTCTGTGCTGCCCTTTCTAGATTGCTTTTGCAGACTTTGCTCTTTCTTGTTAACTTGGGTCAATGAGGCACCCTGACCAGAGTTTGTAGCAGAGAAGGTAAAACATGCATTGAGACTCTTGGAGAGAGCTAGTTTCTTCCCTCTGAAATTCCTACTGATTTGTTCCCATATGGTTCTAGGAGAAAGATTCTGAAAGTGGAATTCTGGAATTATAATCTTCACATAGTTGAGTGCATGAAAAGCCTTTTTGTTGGGAGAAAATTGGAATGCAGTAAATCTTGTAATAACAGTCTCACTTGCATTAGTGTTAAAGGTGGCACGTGATGGAGAGGACAGGGTTAGATGTGCCATTTAGTTGCCATGACAACCTTAATAGGTATTATAGCTTATACTTGATGCTTCCGGCTTCCTTGGAGAGTATACAGAAAGAATAAACTTAAAGCCTAGAACTTCCAGTTCACAACAGTAGTTACTGGAAAACTGAAATAGCATGAAAATTTAGAAATTCTGAAGACTTAAATTTCACTGTACTGAAGGCTTTGGATAACTTCAGGAAGGAAAGAATTCTGTTCAGTCAAAATACTGGTACAGGGTAATGAAGGAGTGATGAAGGAAGCTATTGTTATCCATTTAGGTAGGTCTTATGACCAAAGATAAGTTACTGAGCAAATGAGATGAACAAAATATAGTGTATTCTCTCCTGTGCAGGGAAGCCTGTTATAGCTGGGTTCAAACTTCTCTACAGAGGTAGAAGGACTCTAGCACTGTACTCCCGTTGTTCATCGATTTGCTTGAGTGGGCACCAGTAACCTCTTCATTGTGAGACTTGTTACTGTTTTTGGCATATCGAATACACCACGGGTAGCTTGCCAGGTTTTGCCGTGAAGGCAGGATACTCTCTGTAGCTTGCCGGACTCTCCGAGAGGAGTGGAAGAGTTGAACCCAGGTTGGCCACATGCAAGGCAAACACCCTACCCGCTATGCTATTGTTCTGGTCCATGTAGAAGAACACAAAGTAAAAACGTCAATTTTGACCCTACTTTTACATGAGCCTTGTGAATTGATGGGAGTTGTGGGAAAGAAAGGTGGAGATGACAGAATTACAACCAAAGACTCCCCCTCCTTTTTAATTGTAAACATTTCAGTGATTTATTTTTTGTAAATTGACACCGAAGATTCAGAAGGTTGGGACTTGATTTTAAAAACTTGTAATAATTTATTTTAGAGGGTGGTTGGGGAGGGCTTGGGCCACAACTGACAGTGCTCAGGGCTCCAATTCTGACATATGCTCATAAGTCACTTCAGGTTGTGTTTGGGGACCATATGTGGTGCCATAAATGGAACCAAGGTCAGCTGCATGAAGAGGTAGTGTCTAAATCCCTGGTCTCTGGCACTTCATGATAGCACCACCAAGTGTGGTCCCTCGAATAAATAAATAAACAACAATAGATTTTGTTGTCCAACTTCCAAGTTAACTTGGAACAAAATTAGCCCTTTTTTCTTCAAGAAATTAAAATAACTCATTGGTAAGGAAATAACAGGAATTGCTCATAGATTGATGGTAATTCTTACAGATTCTGTTGGAGAAGTGATGTTTTGGACATTGTTCATTTTCCTTTCAGCCTCACATGAAAGAAGCAATAAAAACCAACCAACCAACCAACTAACCAACCAACCAAACAAACAAATAAACAAACAAATTCTTCTGCCATCAATCCTTTGTACTTCTGGTCCTGATCTGAGTTATTACTGAATTTAATTAATCTTTAAAAAAATTGACATTAAATGGGCTCAAAAATCTGATGGGTAATATATCAATGTTGGAACAAGACTTGAGGGAGTCACATGTCAGTAGACTTGTAAACACTTAATCATCATGCTTGTGAAGCACAAAAGCATCAGAAATCAATCTCTTATGAAAACCAGCTCATATAGGGAGAGAAAGGGAAAAAAATTACAGAAATTGCTTTTTCAAAGGTGTAAACAAGGTTGGAGATATAGAAATAGACAAAGCACATGCTTGATCCAACCTGAGCTTCCAGGAAGCCCTGGTTTGATCTCCAATACTGCATGGTTCCCTGAGCACTGCCTGAAGTAAATGGAATATCACAGAGCCAGGAATAGCTTCTGAATATTTTTGGGAATGACCCAACCTATCCTTCCGCACTCCTAGTAAAGTAGAGGAGAATGGATTCTTATCACAAAGAAAAGAGAGGGGAGGATGAGATTGAATAAAATAGTAAGAATGAATAATATCTCACCTATTTTGAGAACAGGCAGCAATATGCACTCTCCCCATCCTGAAAGAGAAAATGAAACATAACGTGACAGACTGACTTACTGATACAGAGAAAATGAAGATGGAATCTGAGTGCAGCTCCCAACTGCTTCACATGCCTTATTACTACCCTCATTGGTATCTGGGGAAGAATAAAACCAGAGTAAGGCGAGACCAGGGAAGAGAGAAAGCCAAAGATGATGGCAGGAGAAAGGCTGTTTGAGTGGATAGCAATCAGCTAACCAGTGTCAGGGCAGTAAGCCTACCATGCTAAGGGAGGGGGTTTCCCTTACAGAAGGAGTCTGAGAATTCACTGTGAGAGTTGGACCTGGGATTTACTCAAACCTGACTTTTTTTTTAAAAAATTTCATCTGCTGTCCCTTTTATTTTTTTATTATTATATTTTTTAATTTATTGAATCACTGTGGGAAAGGTTACAAAGCTTTCAGGTTTAGGTCTCAGTCATGCAAATATCAAACACATTTCCCTTTACCAATACTTATTTTTTACCATGAAGAACCCCAATAAAACCCCATCCCCCACCCCTCCCCATCCCTGTGAGGCAGATGAATTCTAGTTAACACTCTATCTGCTTTGATTAGATTCATTGTTTCAATAAAAGATTCACCACTATTATTTAGAGTTTACCCCCCCCCCCAAATCAGACAGGCTGAAAAAGCATTGTGAAGTGATTTGCTTTCTACAGCTGGGTTCAAGAATTAAATGTTGGTTTTGGATTTCTGCTATTTTACCTATTGATCCTGGAAGTATTTCTACTGAAAGTCAGATAGTTAAGAAATTGGTTTCTGTGTTCTGGAGTCTTGGCCGTGCTGGAGAGCCGCTCGTGGGGGGCAACTGTTGGCCTCGGTAGGGCGTGAAGGGCGGACCGAAACGCCCCCCTTCCCATGAGGTTTTAGTCGCCCCCACACTCCCGGCTCATACCTGCTGTCCACAAGACTCCCATGTGGCCGCCATCCTTCTTTCCAGAGGGAGGAGGGCGGAAGGGAGCAACACCCTTTCCCCTCCGGGCAGACATGATGGCCTGGATTAACGCATAGTCCGTTCACTTTTCTGCTCCAAGCTGCTGGGTTCTGCATTAAGTCCTTGTGCTTCTGGGGCTGTGGCTGTGCTGGAGAGCCGCTCGTGGGGGGCAACTGGTGACCTCTGTAGGGCGTGAAGGACGGACCAGAACGCCCCCCTTCCCATGAGGTTTTAGTCGCCCCCACACCCCCGGCTCATACCTGCTGTCCACAAGGCTCCCATGTGGCCGCCATCCTTCTTTCCAGAGAAGAGAGGGTGAATGGGGCAACACCCTTTCCCCTCCGGCAGACTTGATGGCCTGGATTAACGCATAGTCCGTTCACTTTTCTGCTCCAAGCTGCTGGGTTCTGCATTAAGTCCTTGTGTTTCTGGGGTTGTGGCCGTGCTCCAAACTTAACTCTGATTTTCAGGGAGAAAGGTTGGGAGGTTTACTTCCCATTGATCACTTTGTATATAGAGAGATGTCACATGGCCGCATAAGCGGCCGCGCTGTTTTGAGAAAAAGTCCTAGTTCCCGCATACTCGAGCTGTGCTTGTAGAGGCTTCTGGTCACCGGAGTTCCATCTGGGGGAGGCGGGATGTGGCACCTACCCCATCTGGGACTTGCCGGTGATCTCGGCTCTTTTTGGAACCTGTTTTTTTTTCTCCGGGATCTGTGGTTCCCGCCCTCCATGTGGTCCTTCTCTTAGGCTGTATGTTTTTTGCTGTCCGTTTTAACTGTGCAGAAATTTCTGAGTCCTATCCTAATTATCACAACAATTATTGTGATAATGTCACTGTCACTATCCTCCTGTTCATTGATTTGCTCAAGCAGGCCCAGTAACGTCTCTATTGTAAGACTTCTTGTTACTGTGTTTGGCATATTGAGTATTCTCGGTAGCTTGCTAGGCTCTCCGAAAGGGGTGGAGGGATTGAACCCAGCTCGGCTGGGCTGGTTGTGTGCAAAGCAAACGCCCTACCGCTGAGCTATCGCTCCAGCCCATTGTGATAATAAAGTTGTGTAAAGCTTTTTTGAAAGTATTGTTTTTTTCTCATTCACTTATTATGCAAAATCCTTTCCTGCCACAAGCATTTGATCAGTCGCCTGGAATTTCCAGAGGATAGAGATCAGGACTCCATTTGACTGTGGTGGCAGCTCAGAGATGAGTGGGGTTTCAAAATAAAGCATGAGAGAATCTGACTGAACCCCATGGACTCTTAGTGGAGTCACTGAGCCTGTCTCCAGCTTTTCCCAGTCAGGCCTGCAATTGTGATCATTTTCCTGATAATGTTTAGCCAGAGTAGAGAGATTCCCTGTCACAGATCATATGATTCAGTCATTTCAACCAGCTCTTTCAGAATGAATTTGTGCTAGACCTTTATATTTGAACTATCTATAACTTTTGCCCCTTCTCTGTCTGCTCTATCCTGGGGGTGGGGATCTGATCTTTATGTATGACACCAACCCAGAACTGTCTTTGTGATCAGTGAGTAGAAGGTGCCAGCAGGCAGTGAAGAGAAATAGTAAGGTAGAGTTTCTCCTTTCCATGCAAGGAGTCTACAAATTCTTTTTTAAAAAATTGCATTTATTTACTTATTTTTTGGTTTTTATTTATTTACTTATTTGGCACTGGAGTGATAGTACAGTGGGTAGGGCATTTGCCTTGCATGAGGCTGGCTTGGGTTTGAATTCTCTGTCCCTTTCGGAGAGCCCGGCAAGCTACTGAGAGCATCCCACCCTCATGGCAGAGCCTGGCAAGCTCCCCATGTTGTATTCGATATGCCAAAAACAGTAACAACAAGTCTCACAATTGGAGACTTTACTGGAGCCCGCTTGAGCAAATTGATAAAAAAGGGAAGGACAGTGCTACAGTGCATTTGTTTTATGCTTTTTTTGGGGGGGGCAGAGTCACACCTGCAATGCACAAGGGTTACTCCTGGCTCTGCACTCAGGAATTATTCCTGACGGTGCTCGGGGGATCATATGGGATGCTGGGAATTGAACCCGAGTCTGCCTCGTGTAAGACAAATGCACTACCCACTGTACTATCGCTTCAGCCCCGAGTCTACAAATTCTGACCACCATCCCACAGTGTATTGCGGTTTGTTTTCATAAAGAAAGTATTTTTATTTGTTTTGTTTATGCTTTTGGGTTTTGGAGCATGCCCAGCAGTACTGAGGGACTGTTTCTGGTTAGGTATTCAGAGATTGCTTCTGGCAGTGCCGGGAGACCCTGCTGTGTGCTGAGGCTTAAAACTGGACCTTCTGTTTGAAAAGAATGTACTCCAGACTCATGAGCTGTCTGGCCCCAGTGACATTTTTTCCCTTTCCAGTGCTGGGGACCAAACCTATAATCTTAAACATCAGGGTGAGGTCTGCACCACTGAACCACATTCCTGGTTATAAAGAATGTTTTACTGACACAAAGCCAGGCCCCTTCATTTAGATATTTTAAAAATGACTGCTGTGATGCTCTGATTTGCAGAACTGGATACCTGTGACAAAGGTCTTAAGACTGGCAAAACTTAAAATGCTTATTTCCTGGTACTTATGGAAAAACCCAGTTTGTGGACCTACCTCAGAAAACTTCCTTTCTTGGTACGGTTATTGCTTCCTAAGGCAACTCTTCCTAAGACATCTCTTTCAGCTAAAATCCACCACTGTCATGTAGCACAAGTACAGTTTTAGTATACCACACCTGGGTTCTGACATGGTCTCTGCCTGCTTTAAACAAATACACTCAGCTGTCATTTTTGCTCCTGCCAGGGGTTAACATCATATTTTACTCCCTTTCTTTTCTTTTCTTTTCTTTTCTTTTCTTTTCTTTTCTTTTCTATTAGTAAATCACTGTGAGGTACAGTTACATCCTTACAAACTTTTGTGCTTGGGTTTCAGTCATACAATGATCGAGTACCCATCCCTCCATCAGTGCCCATTCTCTACCACCAATGTTCCCAGTATCCCTCCCCCCACCCTGCCTCTGTGGCAGGACATTCCCTTTTGTTCTCTCTTTCCTTTTGGGTGTTGTAGTTTGCAATAGAAGCATTGAGTGGTCATTGTGTTCGATCAATAGTCTACATTCGGCATGTATCGCCCAACCAGAGCAGAGCCAGCGGGTTCTCCAAACACCCTTTACTTGGTGTTCCCTTCTCCATCTGAACCTACTTTCCCCCTAGCATTTGAGACTGGCTTCCAAGCCATGTAGTAAACCTCCTGGTCCTTATCTCTACTATTCTTGGTATTAGTCTCCCATTCAACTTTATATTCCACAGATGAGTGCAATCTTTCTATGTCTGTCCCTCTCTTTCTGACTCATTTCACTTAGCATGATACTTTTCAAGTTGATTCACTTATATGCAAATTTCATGACTTCATCTTTTCTAACAGCTGCATAGTATTCCATTGTGTAGATGTACCACGTTTCTTTAACCAGTCATCTGTTCTTGGGTACTCAGGTTTTTTTTTCAGATTTTGGCTATTGTAAACAGTGCATTTGCTGCCTTTCTTGATCTCTGAACACAGTACTTTCACATCCTCTAATTTACTTAGTGGGCTTGTGCCATCTCTTTCTCTCTGAGACCCTGATTAATGGGCAGCGCTGTGCTGAAAGTCATGTAAGTGAAAGAAGAAGCCCCTGTGTCTCCTTGCCAGCCGTTGTGAGCAGTTTCATTTTAGCTGTCTCTGTTGCACACTTTCAACATTCCTGCAACATTTTGGGCTCTGCACAAGGAAGAGAAGTTAGCAATTTCTCAAGACTATAGATTCTGCTCCAGAGCTAAGAGATAATGAGCAGCAAATGGTCAAATAGCTAACCCCCAGGACCTAAATCAGCCAGAGCTTACTGCACAATCCCTGCATTCTCTGTAACACTCTTGTCACCTGAGAAGTAACATAAAGACCCACTTTTCGTATTTTCCTATTTTGTGGAGCTTAACTCCACCAAATGATCCATATTTAACTTGTTCCTATACCAAATTCCTCCCCTCATGAGAAGTTCCTTTTACTTTCTTTTATACTTTCAAATACACTTTTCTATTTTCTAAGTCTGGGCATCTTTATTACTCAGTATTTTCATTGAAGTACCTGGAAACCATGGACAAATACAGACACCTACCGTCACCACACTTTCTTCGAAAGTAAAAGACCAAGTTAGTGCAGATAGAACTGCTTTTCTTTACATTTTAAAAGTTTGATGGCGATGAAAAGTAAGGGGTAGAGCAAAATAATTGCAGACGACTAACATAAGGTTATGTTAGTGGTGAGAACGCTAAGAGAGGCAGAACAATAAAAGAGGCGATATATACATAGGAGAGAGAAACAAGAGGTCACATTTGCTTGAACCTTTCAAGGAGGGCTTAACTGAAGAAGTGACAGGAGCTGGACCATCAAGTCGAAGTTCATTTTAGAGAGGAATATGCTTTTTATGTAGATGAGAATACAGATAGGTAGACAATAAAATATATTTAAAAAATAAACAATAATTTCCAGTTTCTCAAGTTAAACACACTCGGCAGAGCCCCTTGTTTTTATTTTTTGATGCATTGTGTGCCAAAACACAGTAACAACAAGTCTCACAATGGAGATGTTACTGGGCCCGCTCGAGCAAATCCATGAACAACGGGAGGACAGTGCAGTGCAGTGCTGTGTTTATTTTGGAGGTCACGTTAAAAGCAAAGTGAAAGACAATCTCAGAGAAAATTGCACAAAATACATTCTTTAAATAAGTGTGGTGATTAAGGGAGATATGTTTTCTTCTGCAACTCTGGATATGAGTCCAGTTGTCCTGAGGTTTCTTATACTTTAAAAATCGGGGAAAGCTATGACAAGCAAATAAAGCTGTTTTTGGATCATGTGAGTCTATAGTAGAAACTCTCAAAATGTTTTTGTTCTTCCCAATGTCAATTCTGATATTCAAACAGCATCTTGTGTTTTGAAACTGCTAGGCATTCAATGGGATTGGGTGGTCTCGCCTTTGTAAGCACAGTCAAGCCCTGGGGTCAGACATTCACAACTGTCTGATCCAAGTAGGTGCATATTGGTAATAATGAGAGACCCACGTTCTGTGTTGGTGATTTTTCTGCACTTAGTTCCTCACTTCCTTCTCCTCTCACTGCTGTCGTTGAGACTGTACTCAGAGATTTTTCTGCAAGCTATGTCTCACCATTCAATATCTGCTCCGGTTCCATGGGGCATGCTGCAAGCCACAGTCCCCAAGTAACAACTAGGCTGCAGAAGCACCTAGAAGAGTAGAGGAACAGGGTGGAAAAGTACACACTTGAGCTTGGTGAGAGAGTCTGCAACTTGTCCCAAAGAAGCTCCTAGGGAGTTCCCAGAACCTAGAGGAAGGGGGGGAGGGGCGGGGAGGTTAGTGACCAAACACTTTGAACTTCATCTCATTTTATTTTCATAAAGAATCTTCAGAGTATTTGTTATACCCTATAATAAAAAAAGGTAGGGTACATCAGGTTGTTTTTTTTTTTTGTCCTCTTTTTAAGAGAAAGTCATTTACTCATGATTTACGTTTCAGGAAGGAAAGAATTCTGATTTAGACTCTTAATCTTGAAGAAGAGACCAATGTACAGATTGTTATTTCAATAGCGGTTTCTGGCTTGTTCTGCTACAGAAACAAGACTGAGATGGTTTATTTGGATAATACCTGAAGTAAGCCACACATTTTATGAAGAGCTTGTCTGTTTAATATGGGTAATGCTTAGCCCCTGATGCTTTGCTAAGAACAATGAGATTATCAGAGTTTTGAGTTTAAAGAAATCTAGTCCGGGTTGTGTATGAGAATGATTCAAATGGGGGTACACACAAAAGGTGCTTAGGGGTCACTCCCAGCAGTGCTAGGGGGACCATGCAGTATTAGCATGAAACCAAGTTTGACTGCATGCAAAGCAAGTGCCTTAACCATTGTACTCTATCTCCCACTCAGTAATATTACTTTACCCAAGTCAACAGCGTGGATAAAATTGGTGGGATGAAGGATGAAATGAAACTAGTGTGATACTTTAGGTCTTTAACTGTTATTTCAAAGTTTTTTATTTTTTTTTAAATCAGAAACAGAAGACTCTAGGGGAGCAGCTCAGTGTTCACAGAGCCTGCTTTGCAAGCTGAGGTTTGAGTTCAATACCATGTGCTCTCTCATGTGTCCAAACCCCAGTATTTCTGCTCTATGGTATTCCCTTGGCGCCTCTACAGGTCAGTCAGGTGTGTGTGTGTGTGTGTGTGTGTATGTGTGTGCACCAGGACTGGGGAGTGAAATCTTTCTGCCATCCCTCATGTAAGCAACAATGTAGTTAAAAGAAAATTGTGTTATCTAGGGTCAGGGATTTTGATATTTCCAAGCATGTGTGTACTACAACTAACAGGTGTCCCCTGGCAAGAATTGCACATTGGCGCACAGACCTCGGCCTGCTGTGTGAACACCGCAGCCTGAGGAGTGACTTCTAAGCACATCTTGTGTGTAGACTCATTTGAACCATTGTCATACACGACCTGTGAAAGAGAGCGAGAGAGCGAGAGCAAGGGAGAGAGAGAGAGAGAGAGAGAGAGAGAGAGAGAGAGAGAGAGAGAGAGAGAGAGATTCAGAGAAGGAGAGAGAGAAGCCCTGATCATTGCAATGTCAGTAACAGCGAAAGAAATGATGAAGGTGAATTAAAAAAAAGCTGTGAAAATAAAAAGAAGTGATGCATTGTAAAATGGGAGGGAATGTAAGAGACCCAGTTCTGACCCTTGGCATGGTATGTTCCCTCCAGCACCGCCAGAGAGACCCCCAGAATATAGCTAGGTATAGTCCCTGAGCACTGTCAAGGATCACTGGCCAACCAAAACTGAAAACAAACAAACAAAGAGGTAGGGGTGCTGAAGAGAGCATTCAAAAATCTGTAGTATAAACTATGAATTCTGGGAACCTAGGATCATCTGAGGCACTGCCTGGTGTTCAGAGCCTCTGGGGTACGTTTGTCCCACCCTCCCTCTCCCAAAGAAAAGAGCAGATACAGCAAGAAGAAAAAAACATCTGCGAAGACGATCCCAAGTTGCAGAGAAAATTTTAATTTCCTCCACCGTTGGAGATGAGTGAAATTCTAGATTGTTGATGAGAGTTCAGCAGTTAAACACATCCAAGGCTAGTGTTGTAAAAACAGAAGAGAAGATTATGTCTGCCACTGACTTCCTACAGGGATGAGTGATGGACTTAAGTCCATTTTTCATGCTCAGTGCTGGGACCACCCTTCAGGCAATACATTTTCCTTGTCCCTCTAGGGCTACTTGGTCAGGATTAAACGCTGAAAAATTAGAACATTGGACTTTGTCTTATACACGTGATCTCTTTCTAGTTATTGGATGTGGCTCTCGTGTGCTTGATTTCTCAGAGACTTGGCCTGCTGGCCTCTGACGTCGTCCTAAGAGCTATCCTCTGGGGTCACAGGCTTGTTGCTACGCTGAGAAGATGCTCTGAATCTTTTATTCCTCAAAATTAAGATGACAGGAGAGCGCACCAAGTTTTTCTAGAAAATAAGTCCACTGGAGGGGTAATGCATGAACGATTTCGCCCCTTGCCGTCTCCTCCTGTCTTCTCCTATGGGCAGCAGTTATGAACCTGGTCAATAACAGAGTACGTGATGGACCCAGTGAAGGCCTCAGGTCAGAGACCTAAGAGGCAGAAGGATTTTTTTCGGGGAGGGGCAGGGGCAGGGCATGACCTAGCACCTGGCAGCTCCACCGATTGGCCGAGAAGAAGGTTGTGCCCTCAGAGCTGCCAGGGATTGGCTGCGCGAGAAAGAGGCGTGACTCCTGGTAAAGTTGAGCAAACCCCTCCTCCCCATCCCAATTTCAGCCTCCTCTGGACCTGGAACTTCGCAGGCTGCGAGGGACCAGCCGGCGCCGAGAGCGGCGGAGGTGAGGAGGGGCGGGTGTGTGTGCGTGTGCGTGTGCGTGTGTGTATGTATGTGTGTGTGTGCGTGTGCGCGCGCGTGGGGTGTGTGTGTGTGTGTGTGTGCGTGTGCGTGTGTGTATGTGGGTGTGCGTGTGCGCGAGCGTGGTGTGTGTGTGTGTGTGTGTGTGTGTGTGTGTGTGTGTGTGTGTGAGCGCGGGGGGAGCGGGAAGCGGGGCAGGGCAGGGCTGGACGGATGGACACTGGGTTCCGACAGCGAAAACTCCTGGAGCTCGACGGACTAGAACGAGCCATCCCGGCGATGCTCGGCCTTCTCCGGGGCGCCGCGGGCGACCCCCGGGCTGCATTCTGCCCCCGGGGTGGTGGTGGTGGTGGGGGGTTGGGGGGGCGGAGACGGGTTCCTGCAGCGCCAGTGGGCGGCCAGCTTGGAGCGTGTTTCCCAGGGAGCCCGGGAGGGCAGTTGGCTCAGACTCAGCATTTCTGAATAGGGAAGGGGGAAAGCATGGTAATTGGTTTTTTTTTCTTTTTTCTTTTCTTTTTCTGTTCTTCCTTTTTACCCCTGTTTAGTGGGGGAGGGAGATGCGAGTGCTGGGGAGTTAAAAACTTTTGGTGTGGAAGCTTGGAGAACCCACGCCCCGCTCTCGAGTTGGGCGTATAAAGGCTGTGCTTGGGGGACTCGTGGTGGATGGAGATTGGGCGGGAGTGTGGGGGGGAGGGGTCCTTCCTAGACTCGCCCCCCCTCCCGTTTTCTTCCACCGCTCCTCTCCTTGAATCTTTCCAGCTCCGTCCCGCGTGGCCCAGCTCTGTACTTCTCACCCTGCTTCCCACCCTGGGTACCTTGGAGGACCAGAAGCTGCTGCTCTTTCCCCTGCAGCAGAGATGGGAGGGCACAAGGTGGGGGTGTGTGTGTGTGTGGGGGGGGGGGACGGGCAGTTGGAGAGTTAGGTTAGCTGACCCTGACTGGCCACAGCTCCAGGTCTTGACAGCTTCCAGAAGACAAGGGTTTCTCAGATGCTGATTTTAAGGGGGTGGTCGCGAAGTGAGAGCAAAGAACCACAGGGGCAGTGTTATTCAATAATCTGGACAAAACGGAACCTTTATTTTTCCTGGTGACACCAAGGGTCATCTCTAATTTTAACGTGGAGAAAGTGACCGGATTATGTATCTTTACCCAGGGCTGTGTGATCATTGACTTAGAAAGTGGCTCTGCATAACTGATTATTAAAAAAACCAAAAAACTCACCCTTGGCACTTTGTGTGGACTGCCGTCTTTTTGCTAAATTTTGTCTCCTGCACTGTCTACCCCCCTACACACACACACACACACACACACACACACACACATGAAACTGAGTGAGCCAGTGTTGTAAGATCTTAGAATCTACTAGCAATGCAGCAATGTATCCTGGTGGTCTTTCTGCAAAGCGAGTTTCAACAAAGGTTTTAAGTTTTTTTTAATTTTATTGTATTATTTTTTTAATTTTTATTAGTGAGACACCATGAGGTGCAGTTGTAGACTTACAAATTTTTGTGCTTGGGTTTCAATTATACAATGATCAAGTACCCATCCCTCCACCAGCGCCCATCCTCCACCACCACAGATCCCAGTATCCCTCCCACCCCCCATCCTCCCCATCCCACCCTGCCTCTGTGGCAGGGCATTCCCTTTTATTCTCTCTCTCCTTTTGCCTGTTGTGGTTTGCAAAAGAGGCATTGAGCAGCAATCATGTTTGGTCTATGGTCTACTTTCAGCAGGCTTCTCCCATCCTGGGAGGATCCTCCCAACACCTTTATTTGGTGTTCCCTTCTCTATCTGAGCTCCCTTTCGCCCTAGCATGTGTGGCTGGCCTCCAAGCCATGGAGTAAAATTCCTGGTACTAATCTCGGCCATTCTTGGGTGTTAGTCTCCTATTTTGTTACTTTATGTTCCCCAGATGAAACAACAAAGGTCTAAGTCAACTTTTTGGAGAGTTTTCCATTCTCCAGCAAATCATGGTTGTTATCAATCTCATTTGTAATTGATAACAGAGATTAAAAAAAATAATTGCCTTCGGGGCTGGAGCGATAGCACAGCAAGTAGGGCGTTTGTCTTGCACGCGGCGGACCCGGGTTTGAATCCCAGCATCCCATATGGTCCCCTGCGCACTGCCAGGAGTAATTCCTGAGTGCAGAGCTAGGAGTAACCCCTGACCATTGCCAGGTGTGACTCAAAAAAAATTGCCTAGCAGGCTTTATATCTGGATTTTGGAAATGATCTTTGGCATATGAGTAGTGCTCATTCACCAAAAATGAATTTATTTGTCCAAATATTCTTTTGCTAAACTTTTTTTTGTAAAAATAACATTATAAGAACTGACATGTTTCCTTGGCAAAGACTCAAATTCTGTAGAATTCATAGACTCACAGAAACCCTGTATATTTGTAATGGAAAGTAGCCAACAGCATCATATTCACTGAGTCTAAAATATCATCAATTGTGAGTTAAGACACTCCTATTTCATAGTTACGAAAGTGTGAAAAAGGTTTTAAATTTGAAGAAGTACAGTATTAAAATAGTAAATTATTTATCCGCAATCTCTATGCTTAAAAGGTGAAATTGAAGAGTCCGTATTTCCCTTCCTTCCTTCCTTCCTTCCTTCCTTCCTTCCTTCCTTCCTTCCTTCCTCCCTCCCTCCCTCCCTCCCTCCCTCCCTCCCTCCCTCCCTCCCTCCCTCCCTTCCTTCCTTCCTTCCTTCCTTCCTCTCTCTCTTTCTTGCTTTTTGGGTCATACCCAGCGATGCACAGGGGTTACTCCTGGCTCATGAACTCAGGAATTACTCCTAGTGATGCTTGGGGGACCATATGGGATGCTGGGAATCAAAGCCGGGTAGGCAGCGTGTAAAGCAAATGTCCTACTCAGTGTGCTATCACTCTAGCCCCAAGCCCATATTTTCTTGAAAAAAATATTAATGGGGGTCATATTTAACACAGAAAATTGTAAAATTCTTGCAATGGTATGCAAATAGAGCTCTGTCTACCGTCTTTTGTTAGTGGGGTGGCTGAGCTCATCTTTGAGAAGTAAGCAGGCTTTGAGTCTCTCTGTCTTTCTGTCTCTGTCTCTCTCTCGCTCTCTCTTTCAAGTGCTTACTCTTCCCTTGATGCTTAAGGATCACTCCTGGCAGTACCCAGGGTAAAAGATGGGCAGGAATCAAACTCCATCCTCCTGACCATGCATATTAGCTCTTTGCCTGTCTTCCCACCCAGAGGCTTTTTCTGTCTTTAACATTTCTTCGGTGTTTGTATTATGCAAAGGAATGCTTAATGCTTTATCCCACATTAGCTCAGATAAACTTCATAGCAGTCCAGAGAGGCAGATGACCCATTTGGCATTTCTGATGAAGCTCCACTGACAGGTTAAGAATTGGCGTTACTGATGAAGAAAGAACAGGCAGGTCAAGTTAAAAGCAGAGGTTGCAGACTAATGGGAAGAGGATGTGTTCTGGTTGCCTGAGGTGAGAGGAATCAGGGATAGTTTTTTGAAGTATCCCTTTTTTGTTGTAAGTTCTGGACTGCTGGGCAGCAAGTGCAGGTAATTTAAGGTGAATGTCCTGTCTTTCACCATACTGTTTTTGATTTCTTTGTTCAGTGTACTCTAGCGGGATATCAAAAGGCAGAGTGCCTATCTGAGTTCTAAAATTCTACTACTTTTGTAATCCAATGGCCAGTTCTTCCTACCTTGAACAGAACCAGAATATTCAAGATGAGAGGCCCATTAGTACATATTCAGTTTTGTTGAGGAAACTGAGGCGAAGAGAAGGAACCTTTGACTACCTCTATCTAGCTTTTAGCATTTTCCACCCAGCAATGCTGCGTATCATAACACTCACTGATCTCTTAGATATTGGTTGAGAAGAGAGCTTTTGTGGGGTAGTGTGGGCAGAGATATGAAGGGGAGATACAAGTTCTGCTGTTGCATGGCTAGTTCTTTATGATGTCAATTGAAATCTGCCTATTTGTTTATTCTATCATCTTGAAAGAATTTGAGAGCTCACATTTCATTGAAGACTTTTCTATGTGCCAGTAGGTGACACAGTGTTGAATGAAACACAATCTATTCCCTCAAAGTACTCAGTGTATAAAAGAGAAAGACAAATAAACATGCGAGGATTGTATTCGTTCACTTCTGAACTTTGTATTCCTTCTTAGTGAAGTGAGATTTGTGGAGAAGAGGCCAGAAGGGGCTGGGGAGATGACTCAGTGAGAAAACAGCTGCCTCGCACATGTGAGACCCTGGGCTTGATCTCTGGCACTAAAAAAATAAAACAAAACCCCCCCCAAAAAATAACATTGAAACTGGGCTATAAATTGTAGACTTCTGTCTTTGATAATTTTGAGGAGATGATAGACTTGAGGGCATATAAATATTTTTATTTATTGTCTATTTGTTTAAAACTTCTAGCTATTTTATAAGGAATTTAATATGGAAGCAATAAAGCATATTTTTTTTTTATTAGTGAAGCACCATGAGGTACAGTTGTAGATTTACAAATCTTTGTGCTTGGGTTTCGGTCATACAATGATCAAATACTCATCCCTCCACCAGTGCCCACCCTCCACCACCATGGATAATATCCCCCCCCACCCCCCCTCCCACCCTGCCTCTGTGGCAGGGCATTCCTCTTTGTTCTCTCTCTCCTTTTGGGTGTTGTGGTCTGCAAAAGAGGCATTGAGTGGCAAACATGTTCAGTCCATAGTCTACTTTCAACATGCATTTCCCCTCCTGGGAGGATCCTCCAAACACCCTTTATTTGGTGCTCCCTTCTCTATCTGAACTGCCCTTTCCCCTAGAATACCCGGCTGGCCTCTAAGCTATGGAGTAATCCTCCTGGTGTTGATCTCAGCTATTCTTAGGTATTAATCTCACATTTTGTTGCTTTATATCCCCCAGATGAATGCAATCTTTCTATGTCTATCCCTCTCTTTCTGACTCATTTTGCTTAGCATGATGCTTTCCATGTTGTACCAC